TTCAATTAATTGTTCACATTTCAAAACTAAGATGTTTCATATAAAAAAAACTCGGTTTCTGGCTTGTCTTAAAAAACCAGAAGTGACCAAACTGGTCTCCTGTCCCCATGTCTGGGGAGCTGATCAGAGGCCCTACTGTAAATGGTAAAGAATATGGACACTGGGTTTGCTGCATGGTTCTACTCCTCAGCAGTGTTCCTTAGGCAAATTACTAATCTTCTCTGTGCCTCAGTTTCTTTGACCTTAAAATAGGGAACACGACTGTACTTTCTCATTCAGGTTGTTGTAGAGACTGAATCAATTAGTGTCTTTAAACTACACAGGACGGCGCCTATCCCCTATATAAGTACTAGCAAGTTCAAAGTGTTCCTTAGTTGACCATGAGCCTTCCTAGCTTGTTCTCAGGCCCATCTGCCCCATTTCATCAACTACTTTGTTATTGGTTAGATGTATGCATTTCTAACTCTTTCAATCATCACTATTTTTTTTCCTAAAATAGAGCGGCGGATATAGACTCATTAGACTCCATTGACCATAATAAACGAACAGTCCAGAAGTTAAAAAACAGGTGTGTTTGGCTGGCTCAGCTGGTCCGGCACATGACTCTCGATCTCCAAGTCATGGGTTCTAGCTCTACAGTGGGTGTAGAGATTACTTAAGAAACTTAAAAATAATAATAATAATAAAATAAGTAAATCAAAGCTCAAAAGTTAAAAACATGTAAAAAAAATTAGGAGAAAAAGCTGACATCCTACAGATTGTTAAAACATCTAAATTACCATTTGGAGAAACAGATTAAGATTTTATAATTAAGTCCTCTGCCAAAGACAGCCATATTAAAGAATTTGAGACTCACGTTTCCCATACATAAAAATAATTTACGAGGGACAAGGCAAGCTTTTGTTTACCATTTGCTATTTTTAGACTCAGTTGTGGAACTCTGAGAGCAGAAAGTAGATATTTGTCTTTTTAAAAAAACAGATTTGAAAGTAACGATGTTTCATGCTGAAAGGACATGAAATTGATTTTCTGATGTAAGAGTTCAATTGCTCAAATTAAAAAGTCATTAAAAGTGATTATGATAAGTAACCATAATACATTTTCGAGCATTGTGGTTTCCTAGGTTCTTCTCACCCAAAGCAGTGGGTTAGACAGAGCACTGGAGGAAGAGTCACAAAGCCTCATGTCTAGTGGCACTTCTCCAAGTATGTGAGCATACCTCTTCACCAATTACCAGAATCCTGTTTATCTATCTACAAAATAGAGAATTCCTGTGTTCTGTAATACAGGAGTGGTATGCACACTGATCAGATGAACTTAGGGAAAACTATTAATACATTTTAATAAACTGCATAAGGCTGGTGGTTGTTTTGGAATTTTATACATAAATATATAATAAAATAATTGAGTTAATCATCTAAGGGTTTAATTTTTTCCCAGTTTTTAATGATCCTTCAAATTCATTGGCGTTCTCTTAACTATCCATCATATCAGGTTAAGTATATTGCATCTTATAAAAAAAAATGTGCTAGGGCCCCTGGGTGGCTCGGTCGGTTAAGCGTCTGACTCTTGATTTCAACTCAGGTCATCATCTCGTGGATCTTGAGATGAGTTCAAGTCCCACACCGGGTTCTGTGCTGACAATGCAGAGCCTGCTTGGAATTCTCTCTCTCCCCCCATTTCTCTCTGTCCCTCCCCAACACACATGCACATTCTCTCTCTCAAAATAAGTAAACTTAAAAAACAGAAATATTTAAAAAAAAACAAAGAAATAAGCCCCACAATGTGTCAAACAAAGGGCAAAGGAATGTCCTAAGTCTCACTTGCTAATAGCCAAGGCTCTTTTGAACCTACTCGTACACAAAGCAAACAGAAATTGATGGTTGGCTTGAATGTGCTCCCCAAACTAGTATCGTCAGTAAAAAACTGTGCTTTCTAGTGGTGAGATGATGAAAAAAATATCACCCCATTCATTATTCTGGACAGAGGAGAAATATCTCCTGGGAAGTCTGTAAAAATCTACTGTAAAGAATAAAGCTATAATATACTGTCAGCAACAATTTGCCTTGGCAGGAGATGGACGATATGATCTAATAGTTCCTTTTATTTCTAATTTCTAGGATTCCTGTATTTTCAAGCCTTATACAGTTCTCTTAACCCAATTCTGTTACCTACTGAGCCAGAATCTCCCCGTGTCTGGGCTGTTCTCTGGGGCTATCGGGTACTTCTAGAAACGACATTAACACTTTGTTCATTGGCTTCTCTTTTATGACTTACACGTTCTGAACTAAACCTCTGTGTTTACATGCAAAATATGATCACTCTTATGAGTTGATGCAGACACTGTCTACAGGGTCAAAGTCATCAGAGATCTGGAACTATAGCTAAACTGGTCTCATTATTTTTATCTTGTCAGGCTCACTGCCTCTGGAACTCATACATACTCTCTGGTCTAAGCTCTGCTACAGGCACATCTCCCTACTGTACAGATCTTGCTTCACAGCCCAGGATCCCTTTGTACCCACAAGACAAAGACTGCATTCATTTAGATGGTAATTCCCACCAAAATTCCTATATGTTTTGGAACAAATTGTTTAATTGGCACCTGTTCACATCAGGCACCGTTCTAGGTGCTGAGAACACAACAGACATGATACCCTGCCTCATGTGGCTTACCTTGAAACAGGGAACCAAGCAAAGGGCAGGAGAAATAAGTAAAATGTAGAATATGGAGATAATGACAAATGCTAACAGGAAAAATAAAAAAATAAAAAAAAAGAAAGAAAATGAGGACAGGAAATATAGAATGGAGGAAAGTTCACTTTGGCTGGGATGACCAGAGAAGGCTTCTTATAATTACTATATTTATCACGCTGTACTATTTTTATCTTTACCTATGTGTTCTTCACTCAGGAAGAAGCCCTGTCTGAGGCATTTCTATTCTTAAATGCCAGATAATATTAATAAAATTAGTCAACTGAATGGTACAGTATGATCTATGCATCCTCTGGTTTTAAGGCTTGTTCACTTATGTCTTAATTCACTTTATAAGCACAGGACAAACAGAATCAGAGGGTGATTCAGAGGTGTTTGATTTCTAGGAAAGCCACAAATACAAGTTCTATGAGGGCAGGGATATTACATTTTTTGTTCACAGTAGAATCCCAAGTACATAGAACCAGGTTCCTATTAAGGGCTCAATAATTTTTTAAATGAATGAATGAAACATCTGGACATATGGAAATGCAGATGTGTAGTCAAGAGAATAGGGTATTAGAGTAACTTTGCCTTTAGCAGCTACATGCTATGCTACTTCACAGAATCTGTAAGTATGAAAGAATACATATTATTTTGTCCTTCTGCATCGAACAAGATAGGAAATTCTTTTCTTCCAAGCAGAGAATGGATCAAGAAACACTACTCTAAAATTCCGGCATGCATGGAATGTATGGAATACACGCCTCATAACAGATAGGCTAGAAAACGATTGACTTCCCAGCTTAAATTAAAAAACAAAAACAAACAAAAAACCCACAGGCTCTTATTGACAATTAAAACAGCATTCCTCTACCTAATTACTTGGAACACAAAAAAATCCCAGAGGAAAGGAGAGGGGTCAGAACATAATACTTTTAGTGGTCATGATTGCTCTTTTAAAAATTAATATCAATGAATTCCAGATGGTTTCCTCTGGAGGAAATTTGCTGTGGGATGATAATACGAGGCAATGAGAAGAAGAAGAGAGTCTGAGCGTACTGGGTGGGGGGATCTTGCCTACTTCACAGTTCTGCCTAGTTCACGTTCTATTTAAATTGCCTACTGGCAAAAAGACCTTCCATAATGGAAACATCCACTGGTGTCTTATGCAGACCTTTAGAAATTGTACTACTTACAAAACAAAATAGCAAATGAAGTCTGGAAAAATAATAGCAAGTCCCTCAGAAAGAATTCCAAGTCAGAAGACCTGGGATCAAGATGCTTCCTTACCTTTACTAGTAACCTATTCCTGGACCCACCAACAACCTCTCGGGAAAATAATTGTTATGTTCTCCATGAGGACAGTAATGCAGCTCTTAGGCATGTGTCATAGGCTTTTGTGAAAATAAAATGGGGAAGTAAGAGGGTAATGAAAGAAAAAGGGAGAAGTATTTATATAAATATTAGCTATGGGCGAAATAATACAGTGGCCATCTACCTTTCGTGTGCTGGTTATGCAAGAAGTAAAAATGAACAGCATAAATTATATTTCTCTTTGCTGCCCATACATAATTTCCATTAAAATACCTTTGTTTTATAATGATTTAAAAATTATGCACACTTCAGGCTATGTTGATTTTTCCCCCTCTCATACCATAGTACCTTTAGTCTTTCTGGCGTTATCTATGATTGAATTTTTTTCCTTTAATGTGGTTCTGAGATACTGGATATATTTTCGAGATTATTTTGGTTGCACAGATGATCATTTTAGAGAGTACACAAACTAAATCCCTGGTAAAAATATCCACGTATTTATAGTTGTTTTCTACTCTTAAATTAAAAGCAACGGTTTTACATGTGGTAGCTTGCAATAAAACGAAAAATTATATGTCATGGCTGTGTTTGTTAGCTGAGTGGTATTACAAGTCACTATTTTTGACTTGTAACCATACACACCTCCATAACTTACTGGCTGCATTAACATACTTGTGCTATTTTAGGAAACTCTTCCTCAGTGAAATGAAACCGCAAATAATTTTACTGTTTGTTTCAGAAATTTCTAGAAAGTACACTAGAGAGCGCAATTTGGGCTCATCACGCTGACAAAACTGTTTGGAAGCCTTGCCTTGGTATGCCTATCAACCTCCAACCACAGGTCATGAACTTGCCTAATCTTAATCAAGCTTCCGCTCCTGAATTTCCAAAATCTCATAAATAGTTGGTCTTTGTCTACCCTCTCCAAGATGCTACTAAGATTCTGTAAATGTAATCAAACCATAAACATGGCTTTGCTTCATCCACAGGTTATTTTGGTGATCTCTAATCACGGAGCAAAAATTTGGAGAACTTCACAGAAAATAACTGAAAGAATATGTAGAATTTGCTTTCTCAATTTGGGGAATCACTCTCTTAAATTCCAGCATCTTACACACTGAATTATGAGGACAAGAAATTAAATGATCATCTACACCAAGTGGAGCTTCTAATGGTTAACTTCTACTTCTCAAAATCCCGAATCAATGTCTGTTTTCATACAGGAAATACGTACCTGACAAACTAGAGGTCTCTACCGCAAATTAGCTAATTACTTTTGCAAACCACATGACCTTTGCCAACATCCATCGGGCTGCATTATGTTTGAAAATGGAACGGACATGTACCCTGAATTCTGCACTCACAAGAGATATTCTTCTCTTTGCAAGAATGAACATCCAAGGAGCAGACACTAAAACAAGAGAGTGTTTTTCTGACTTTGTTGCCCAATTTTAACTCTTCTCGCCTGAAATGGGTGTTGCACATATAACAAATAGTGAACAGACTTTCATTATCTATCATCTATCAATCATTCGCGTTTATAAAGGATCCTTCATGTGTGCATTTTAAAGTGATGCACTAAAAGATGGAAATTATGCTTTCAGATAAAAGCGGTTCTAAAAATATAATAAATGTAGGTTTAAATTTAGATAATGCGGCAGTAGATTTCACTTAAAAGGGAGTGGATTTGAAAGTGAAGGACAGCAAAAGAAGGCCTACAGCCATACCCAATTTATGTTTGACGAGACTTAAGATCCATCACGTCTATGGAGAGGTCTTGAGAAACACATCTTTATGAAAATGGGGACCTAAGGACTGGCTGTATGACACATCTAACTTAGTCTTGCATGTCAGACTAGTGTGCTTGGTGCCTAAAAACGACAGGAGCCTTTGTTTTTCTTTTTTTTAACCCGACTATAAATGCTCTTTTGTTTCCATAGCTTAGGGTATAGTGCCGGGAAAATCTGTGTCCTGTACCCTCATGTTAGTCTACGGATAGTTTCTGGTCATTTAAACAGAAGAACCAAAAGAACACTCACCTGGAACTTCCAACTCTCAATCTACCTTGGTTCAAGGAGCGGTCACAGTTAAGAGGACAAATGTTGAGAGGGTGGAGAGACGCTTGAGAGCACATACAGATATTTAACAGCAATCAACGAAAGTCCGAAGTAGTAGATACTGGTGGGATGACGTTTTGTAGTCAGTAAGGAGCTGACCACTGATTTTAAAACTAGAAGCACTTTATCCTAAAAGCAGACCAGAGTGATCCTAGAAGATATTGGATAAGTCATTTTTAATCTCACACAGGAAAAAGAGCTTTAGTTCTAAATAATTTCATCAAAAGTGGTACCAAAAAAAAAAAAAAAAGTCATGTTAATCATCCAAATAGTATGTCGAGCAAAAATGTTTGCCTAGCCCCCAAATCACTAACTTCATTAGCTGCATTATAGAGGTCAAAAAGAAAATCAAAACAATTATTGAAATAAAAGAAAAACTAAATGTATTGTTCTTGTCTTTCCCTAGTGCCTTGAGTCATTATTCTACTGCTAACTTAGTTCTACCAAGCTTATTAACTATTTCAGGCCATTAAAATACTATTTTTTTATTTAAAAAAATTTTTTTAACATTTATTTATTTTTTGAGAAGAGAGAGACAGAGCATGAGCGGGGGAGGAGAGAGAAAGAGGGAGACACAGAATCTGAAACAGGCTCCAGGCTCTGAGCTATCAGCACAGAGCCCGACACGGGGCTCGAACTCACGGAGCGTGAGAGATCATGACCTGAGCCGAAGTCGGGCGCTCAACCGACTGAGCCACCCAGGTGCCCCAGGCCATTAAAATACTATTTATTATACTGCTGTGATAACATACTTTTTTGAAATTCTCATTTACTATGGAACCATCATAGCCACATAAGAGAACACATTCCCACTGAGTTCAGACCACCATGCCCTCCATGAAATCAAATTCCCAAATCATACAACACTTTACGGTGTCTCAAGTTGTAGCTATTGGTCAAGAGTAAAGATTTAATGACACCAGAAGAAGTAGAAAGAGAGGCCAAAGGAGGTGACATATTTTGTTTTGGGAGTCATGTTAGCAGCATTGTTACTAACATTGCTACCTCCTCTCATTGTCTGCATGTGAATATAATTGCACATCCTGACAAGGCATCTCTATTAGTGATGCCCTTGCAGACTGCCAGTGAACTGACATCTACAAATGTTCTTCTTGGGTGTGGTTCCAAGCCTCGCTCGAGCATGAGAGCCTATGGAAAGCTTAGCAGGATGATCACACGGGCTAGCCAGATTGTGACCAACTTAACGTAACACTTCTAAAATCAGAAGTTACTGTGTTCGCTTAATATTAAAAGAGGCTACATTTTTTTTTGAATGTATCTCTTTTACATATGATTTAATAGATTCCCCTGTTTTGAAAAAACTCATTTTCAATGTTGAAAATCACACGGAACTCCTGTTTTTAGTAGTTGTACTTTTACCGCATGCTAAGTTAAACAACAATATTGAGTAAATATACTATACTGTAGAAATGTTTCAAGTGGATTTGCATTTTATTTATCATAACACTTATATGCAATAAATGGTTTAACATGGAGACAGACTATTTAGTTTCCAGAATATGCTTGTTGGGAAGGGATCCATATGTGTACTAAATCTGATATTCCTGTAAATATCCATAACTCACAGAATGGAAACAACAGGCATGAAGAACAGTAAGTGTTGAAAATGAGATACACCTGGCTTTCAAGTATCACTAGTGTGTTGGGTCGTTAAGTAGATGATAGAGATACAGACATATGCACAAGTAAGTATCACCTCGAGCAAGTCACTTAACTCTTTCCACTTTGCTAATTTCTAATACTGTTATGGTGAGAAAGATTACAATTTACGCAAAACATGTTGCACACCCTTTGGCACACTGAAGCTACGCATGATCTCTTAGGTCTTATCGTTTCTCTTGTAAATGCTCCCGGTTTTAGATTTTTAATATATCTTCGAAATCTTGGATTGACTGAAGGTATTGAGAACAGACATTCCCTCTGCAGAAGGATTCACTGTAGGACTGCTTTCTGCAGCGAATGGCAGGAGTGCGTTTACGACACTGCCGCATTTGCAAATTCCTCACGTGTCCATCTGGGCAGAAGCCTGTCCTTCAAATAGGGGTGAGTGCCTCCAGAGAACCTAGATACCAGTCACTTTGCATCTGATAGGACACTTATAATTGACAGTATGAGTGACAGCATGCTGGTGTTCACTGGGGGGCCTGCAAAGGCAAATGGCCTTGTGAATGTGGGATCAATATTACAGTAATCTGTTGATATCATTGTCATAAGATTTTGTTGTCGTTGTTGTTGGTCGACGGGGGGGAATAGAGAGAGAGAAAATATCCAATCCCGCAGCTGCACAGAACAGCAGCCCAGCTAGTCTTAATTGCGGCTTCATCTCTGCATTTTTTTTTAGCACGGTAGAGGATAGTCTTCCAGCAGCCGCATGTGGCTCCGCGGTAGACACCATGGGCAGTTAGGTTGGTGGTTTTGAAGCTTCGCGTACATTAGCATGCTACTGCTGGGCTGTATCGTCCAGGCAGACATACATGGCAAGATTTTTATCTTCCAGGGTCCCCCAACACTATCTCTGGGGCAGCCTCACTCTCTTCCCTCAAACAGTGCTCTACAGCATTGTCTACGATAATAAATACACAGTCTTTCAAACGAACAATGCACCCATTTTAGTCCTGGTGTGTCCACTTTTAACACTTTGCCCTGTATCACAGTGGGAAAACAAATCTCAGAAAACAATTTCTAAAGATGTTTTATTTACATTATCTACCCAAACGTATAGACATAGGAAATGAATCATTTTACTACATTTTAATGTCTTTATTTTATAGTTTTGTTTTTGCACGTACCATTATTTGGTAGCTATGTATTATGCTCTCCTAGTTCTCTGAGTAGCTAATATTTTGGTTACAAGAGTTGGCATTTATTGAGCACTTACTGTGTAACAAGTAGGTGCCAAGCTCTGTGCGTTTGAATTTATTTTTTTTTTTAACTTTCTTTTTAACGTTTATTTTTGAGACAGAGAGAGACAGAGCATGAACGGGGGAGGGTCAGAGAGAGGGAGACACAGAATCCGAAACAGGCTCCAGGCTCCGAGCTGTCAGCACAGAGCCCGATGCGGGGCTCGAACTCATGGACCGCGAGATCGTGACCTGAGCCGAAGTCGGCCGCTCAACCGACTGAGCCACCCAGGTGCCCCTAGGGTTAAATACTATTTTTATTGCCATTTTATAGATGTAGACATTAAAACTGAGAGAATTCAAATAATCTGCCTAAGGCCCCTCAGTAAGTAATAAGACAGAATTGTGTATATCTAAATTATCTATTGATTTTAACGTTTTTATATATTCTCAACAGGACATGCAAGGCCTCAAAAATTTTGGGGAGGTATGACAAATCTTACTTCCTGTAGTATTTGCTTGATAGCCCTTGAGAGAAATCCCATCAATAAATAAATGTGTGTAACATTAAGTTCATCAATATGTATTCTCTTTATTTTCTTAGTTCAATAATTAAAGAACTTTATTTCTTATAGTGAAATGCTACAGTGTAGAAACTAGAAAGAGAAAGATTCTATGCATCCATACATAAAACCCAAGCTTCTGGAGAAAATGTGCCAGATTGTATTTGAGAAATAATTATTTGAAGTAAGAAATCACTCAAGACTTTCTTTAAACTGGAGGAATACAATTTTCTTCCCTGAATCAAAAATAAATAAATAAATAAATAAATAAATAAATAAATAAGCTAATTGATTAACTAAATACTCAATATAAAGGGGGAAACATCATGTTTTTGACCTTTTCGGCTACATTCTATTCCAGAAAATAATGGAAATGCCAACACCATCTTAACTACTGTGGTACCACAAGGGCTTCAGGCGATACAGACAAGCTTTCTCTCTGCTTTTTTTCCCCTTCTTCTAAATTGAACCCAGGAGGGCAGAGTTGAGTCTTTGACAAGATTCTTGGGAACCACTGTTTGCAGGAAAATTAGGCGAGATTTTTAAATTGACAATTTTTAGATTGACAATTTCATTCCAAGATTCCTTCTGTGTTTCTGTGCTCCAGTTTTAATTATCACTTAGAGTAAGTGTACTGGATATATACTTATCAACTCCCCATTTCCCCTGTGGACCACACTGTGGGTTACAAAATACAATTTCCATTTTGTCTGCTGATGGCCTAAATAAGGTACATGCAAAACAACAAGGATGGGCTTCTTAATTTAGCAGGATAAGATGCTCATATAACAGTGGCCCTGGGGGTTAGATTAGAGGAGAAAGAGAAATAGATTCTACCTCAGTGGAGTTGAATAATTTCTAAAAGATTTAGCACAAAAGAACTGGGCCATCCCACACTACGAACACTTAGAAAAATCTAACAATATCATATTAAATTTTTCCATACACGTTAATACTGGGATCCATGGCATACATGCAATTATGTCTTATGATATTTTAAGCATAACTATCATAGGAACAAAACTGTAAAAGAAATGTTAAGGATATGAATATCATGGCAAGGTTGAATTACAAATATATTGGAGTGTAAAATATATGACATACATATCATGCATCATTTTATTTAATTCCTAATATTTGAAACCTTACTGTGCAAGTATAATAAACACTATAATAAAATATCTTAATACAAAACTATTTTTAAAAATAGGAAAAAATAATTAACATTTATTTTTAAGATGAGTTTTCCCACCAATGAACTATTTTATTCAGCTTCATCAGATTTCTTCCGACCACATGTCCCCTCTCCATTCCAAGCCAATATAAACTCCAAGCCATAATTCTTACCCTAATCATCACTGCCACTAGCATCAGCAAAATCTAACAAGTACTCATTATCAGCTAATTTTTAGGAATCTAGAAGGTCCCACTATGGTCAGGATTTAACAAATTAGTGGGGCTGCCATCGTACGGGAAAAAGATAGAGGGCCGTGCCGAGCAGTGGGAGAAGCATGGTAGTTTGTGAATTTCATAAAGCTTCATGAAGGAAGTGAAACTTAAGATGGACGTTGGATAGTTAGGATTTATACCAGAACTCAGGAATGAGAAAAATAGCTCACGGCCGCAGTAGAGCAAGAACCAAGGCACGCTCTTCGTAAGCCCTGAACAAGTTTTGGGCAATGGGAGATGAGGGGAGAAGAATAAAATATTTCATAAAGGGCAGTGCCTATGGACCTAAATTTGGTATTTGTAGTTTATGGTAGAGGCAGTGGAGGTTTGAAGGCATTTGAGCAGATAGAATGATACATGAAAGTTTACACTGGGAAAATCAATTTATACATGGTCTGGCATTATAGAAGAGGCTATGGTGA